AGAACGGCAAAGTTCCCTGTGCAACTATAATTTAACATCTTCACACAGGTGCATTATAAAAAGATAGCATGAAAGACTAGTGTAAAAGCATAAAGTCTGGGTCACAGGCTACCTACAGAATCGTTCACTCAGAGGTCCTAGCAGCTGCTATTTTGTCTTGGCATATTTACTTACTTTTGTTGCCAAAACCAACTGGATTAAAACAAAATTGAAGCATGCCAGTGGAGGATTGGAGGCCTATACAAACTCATACATATCCATACATCATTCATACACAGTTAAACCCATTATGGACTTTGTGAAATAGATATTGACTCAAATATATGCTGATAGCTTCCTGCTCAAAGCCTTAAAACAAAAATTAGCTATGTAAACAACATCCTTGTGATCAGTGAGCTTTTTCTCCTAAATACTTCAAAAGCCTCAATTAACTCTAAAAAGTAGGGGGGTTTTATAATATTTTATTATTTTAATAAGTTTAGCTGTTATAACTGTGCTAAAATATAATTAATTTCACTGTCAGCAGGAGAAATAAAGAACATGGATAAGTTTCAAGTGAAGTTCACAAAAACAGGAAAAAGGAAATAACCACATCACTTGTCTCATTCATGGATTATACTAAACATGACAGACAGATATCTATTACTCTACAGAGATTGATTCTCTTCCATTTTCTAAGAGGACATGAATGAAATTCTTTCAAACTGTTGACAGCTTTTAATAAAAGACACCACACATATTTCTGGATTTGTTTTTTGGACCTAATATTTCATCCTACTTTAGGCCCTCAGTGAAAATCACACTATTAGGTTTTTCCTTTTTATTAATTACAGAAAAAAAGATTAAGACAATCAACCAGAAAAAAACCCATAATAGAATTAGCCACTATGAGTCATATCAGCAGCTCTTCAGAGAATATTTAACTGCACACAAACTATTCACAGCTTCTTAGAACCCATTTAGTATTAAACTAATTTTAATTAGTTAATTTCTTCCATTCCAAACATATCATGTTGACCTATTCTGACCTCTGGCTTTCTGCAAGTCTTTACTTGACTACTGTTGTGTGTAGTATAGATCCTACAGCACCATAAAATAAGTTACATACAGACATTTACACAAGAAACTGCTTTCTAGGAAAGAGTTTGAAAATCAAGGAGAGTATTTTCCCTTCATTGTATTATCTTGCCCTTTAGAATTAATCTGAGGGGGAAAAAATGGTTGAATTATGGCAGAGAGTTTTGCCATACATTCACTGTGCATTAGATCACAATTAAAGTGAATGAACAAGTGAAATTAATTTTCAGATTTTAATCAAGAAGAAAGATAATGTTGTGCCTAAAGATACAGGCTCCAAGTGTTACAGAGAAGTTCCCTGCTCTACTGCAAATTTCTTCCTCCATTTTGGCTTCTCCAGCCATTACTGTGACAGTGTTATTTTCTCTTCCTACTTGTTTCCTTCATGGGCTATAAACTTTCAGAGGCAGGAGGCTGCCCCTCAGTGCATATTTGTAGAGCATCCAGCATAAAAAGCCATGGTCTCAAACGCACTCTGAGCCCTAACTGAAGACAAGCACTTCACAACTCTGTTTTCAAAGATGCCTGACATGAAAAAAGCATAGTGAGTGAAAATGTACAGAAATGCAAGGTGCATTGGAATTTTAGCTTGAGAACATATTGCACTTTCTAATTTGCATTGCCCTAATACTATTTTCTAGCCTAAATTAAGTTTGATCTCCAAAGATAGGAGACTCTGAGTATCTCTCAACAGAATGCATTTCCTTAACTTTTTGGAATATACTTCTACAAAGAGGAGTAATGTAAGTACTCAAGTTATTATTTCTGTTTTAAAGGCAGCATAACAGCACAGGGGTATGAGAATCCATAAACTTCAAATTTATTCCCAGCATAAAAAGTCAAAATAAGCCATGTACATGGGCCTTCAGGATCTCCTATAGCCTGCCTATTTTCCCAAGTCTTTTGATGAAATTTAATTATTTCATAGAGCACAAGAAATATTATAAATCATCAATCGGTAAGTCTGTTTGCATTACGCAGTAATAGGCTGACCCACTATGAACTTCTCTAATGGTTTTGAATCTTTAAATTTTACATTAATTTTGGCTTTAAAATGCATTTTTTTTTCTCCTTTTGAAATCTGAAAACATTGCAGATTAACTTTGATTGTCTTCTTGAGCTTCATGAATCCAATGCATGTGAGTTGCTATAAATAAACATCCACTACATTGTAGTGACTGACCTTTGGCCCACTCTTAGTGCTGAGGGAGAATTCACTAGATTAATCATGAATCATAATCAGTAGCTCTGAGGACAGATGTCTCTTGCAACAAACAAAGTACCAGTGTTGCATGTGGTGGTCAGAGGATACAGACTATTACTGCCCAAAAGGCCAAAGTTACTCCTGGGAATGTGGGAATGTTTCAGAAGTCATTAGCTCAGCATATCTAGTTTAAGGTGTTCTTCCACCACTGGTACTGCTTTTCAGGACTGAGTCATGTTTTCTTAGCAATGCTGCCGAACTGTGGTAGGACAGGGTTTTTTAAGGCTGATTTTTAAGTCATACTGGAAAGATCTCATCCATCCACTCAAGAATGAGGAAGCTGCCTAACACCTTTACATAAGCAGTCTCTTACTACGAAAATTATGGGTAAGCACACAAAAAAGCCTTACTGCACTTCAACTTTCCATTTTCACACAGGTTTCAGCTGTACTTTCAAACTTTTTCAGTACTGGAAAGTAGTATATAGATAACTGCTATATATTTTCTTAAAAGAGTAGGGCTAGCTGATTTTATATCCAGTTGCTGAAATTAAATACATGTTTTTTAATTAATATATTTTTACTGACACACATGGTTTCGCTGCAGTAAGATACAGAACATTTCTGAAGAGCAACAATATTGTGGTAGTAATCAGAAATCCCTGTACCTAACTTCACAAACACTGAATATGCTCTCTGCCTAGAAACGTAATCTCCTTCAAGTGTTAATGAAAACAATGTTTATAAATACATGAAAGATAAATGGGAAACAGACATGAGTTTAAATATCAGAGAAAAGCTATGTAATGACAGCTCACTGGATGCCAAAGATTAGCGCTTGTAACTTTCCCTCTTGTTCCTTCTTGTAACGCAGTGTTATAATTATTGCTCCCATGGCTGCAAGCTGCCAACAGACTCTCAACAATACCTAAGAATAGACATCTAGGCATCACAGGAGCTTCATCTCTTCCGCACTGGGTAAACAACATTTGTCAAATTAAGCTTTACATACATTAGGAACAATTGCTTCGCAAAACAGAGACAACAACAAATGAAAAGTTATGATCAGATGTAGAAGCACTGACGTTAGTATGAGCCAGCTGTAACTGATGGGAGGAAATAAGGATGATGTCAGTAACAACTGTTTACAACATTAGTGGATGTTTTGTCATAACGTATGTTCTAGACAACCACAGTCCCCCCAGAAAAGCACTACAGCATACGGACATATCTGTATTCCTTACCACCAGAGGCTTTTAACAGGGACTCTTCTATTTCAGTATCTTTCTGCTAACCAGATTCCCCTATTCAACAGACCTAAGGCAGGCTTGTTTCTTTCATTTTTGATATCTGCACTCAGCATATACAAACTTCCCTCCTACTATGTTATATGCTTTTCTCTAGATCTCACTGACAGGAATTACGGTGGGAAGGCAGGGAAGGGGCTGGGCTGAGAAGGGAAGAGGTGTTAATAACTACTTTTTGCAGATCTGATGTTTCTTAAAATAAAGTATTCTTGGCTGTGAAATATATGTGTTTGCCTGCAATAACTGGATGCTACAAAAGGACTGTTGTAATCACAAAAATCATTCAGTTGCCTACAGAAAAAAAAAATAAAAAAGGTATTCTTGTTTAAAGAAGAAACAGGAAGTTAAATTAGGACAACTGAGGTTTTGCAAACTAGATTTAACTAACAAGCACACTGTCAATCCTCTCTTATTTTTCTTCCCATGGTTGCCACTGACTGCAATCACTGCATTTTGTGATGCACTGGAAGTGGCAGGCATATATTGCCTGGAGTGAGACTGTACCTTTCATTGGTAACTGGATTTTTGACCAGTTCTCACAGAACTTCTTTCATAAGTACCTTATTCCTTCTAAACTGCACAGCATTCAGCTTCCTGGTCTTGTTACATTGTTTGGAACACTTATTCAATTGTCAGATTCTCTTCCAATGAATTTCAAAATGGAGGAAGTGGAAATAAAAAATGAAAACAAGGAGAAAGAAATCTATTCTCTCTCTTTCCCCTCCAGAAACATCAAAGATTGTATACATATTACATATTTAACATGTGTACATGTTAAAAAAATATTCCTTTTCCCCTTTTTGTGTCATGTTTTGATTTTAGCTCTGCTAAACTCACTGACCCTTTTTCAAATCAAACTTAATTTAAATGTGCACACACATTATACTAATGCTGTGAAATTATGTAAATGCAGAAAAAGTACATGCTCCTTAAGCTTCCAGAATAGTTTATGTCACCCTCAACATATTCTGCTAATTTAATACCAAAAATATATTTAAAACATTAACTATGCTGAAGGAAATGACTAAACAAATTTGAAGTTTAACTAAAGACCAGCCCAACTTATGATAATACTATAAATATCCAAGGCATAATTGTTGTTCCAAAACATTCCATTTTGTCATAGCCAGATTGGAGAATTTAGGCAGAACTCTGTACAGGAAAATAAGGAAATTAGGAAAATAAGCCTGACTGCCCTAATTTCACAGTTTTAGTTTATACAGTGGCAACCTTTTTCTAAAAGAGCTCTATTACAGTTGGCTTATCATGGCAGAAATGCTGTCATTAGCTTTGACAGACAGGAATTTTGAAATGAAGTCACAAGCTTAGTTTGGATCTTCCCTTGTCTGATTAGACAGAGAGTATTTTACCACAATTGGCTCTAGTCACTGATGGATTTTCATTCCCAAATACCTGTCATCACTGTCACTGATGCATTCAGGAAGAGCGAGACTACAGCCAAACAGCATGATGTGTTGATAGCAGTTGAGACGATTGAGGTAACTGAAGAACTTCAGGAACTTCTCCATTTCAATGCTTTTGACAATGGAAAGAACTGAAGTTACGGTGGTGTAGTTATATGGAAGTATTTGGCACTGGCTGTTGGTGATAGTTCTGCAGGCACCTGTGAAAGTAAAACAATATATTTAGAGCAATAGTATGACTACTGAATAGTTGGTTCAAAGCATGTATTGAATTGACTAGTCAGTATATATAATATATAAGCAATGCTGGTATCTCACAGATAAGATTACATTCCATAATGCTACCATAATACTGTCAAAAAATAAGAAAAAAATCAAACCAGAGAAGCTTAGCTTGGAAAACCAAATAAGCTCATAGATATTTTAACAATCCTCTGACTTTGTATAAAACTGGAACAGAAATTAAAAAAAAACAATTTCTTTTCGACAGCCTGGATACAATAAAATATAGTTGAAGCTGAGAATGGAAGTCACATAGAAAAAAATGGGTTCTAAAGCTGTTCTGGCTTTAGTGTTCCCATAAAGTTTCTCTTTTCACTACCATTCTACTTTCACAAGTAGAAATTTCATCAATTGAAATTTCATCAAAATTATTCACGAGATCATCATGTATCTCCTGAGGCACAACTGCATGATAGTTCCTGCCATGGTATGTGGCAAGAAGTACTGACATTTTTGGCTGAGTTCACATGCATGGACAGCTTTAGATATTTTATAATTCACACAGTCCTGACAGAGAAGGGTACAAGTGCTCCAAGATACCTTGGAGCTATCTGATCTTTTTGTAGTACTCACTGGTTGGACAGTAGAGCAATGAATTCAGAATTCATGAACAAGAAGGTATTTTGTGGCAATTATATAACAATTTTTAAAACAGAGAAGAGATTAAACCCAGGACCTGTCCTTGCAACAATCACATAGAGAAGAGTGTAAATAGCTTTCTTCCACCATTCTCATAAGCCCCCTTCAGGTACTGTAAGGCTGCAATTATGGGGAATATAAACTAGCTTTGGCAATACCTACAGGAAGGTAAGAAGAGCAGTGAATGGGAATAATGGCAAAACACTGTTGATCAGAACAGTATGGTGCCAAATTATATGGGTCATTTCTGACATTCATCTGAATTAAGAGTTTTCTGTTTATCACCAGAAATTGCCAAATGGATTGAACTGGTAAAAAAGTGCTTTCTTCCACTCCAACAATTGCAGTGCAAGTGTACAGTTTCATTTCAGTCCTCTGAAACTAATTTAAACTGCACATTTTCCCTTTCCCAGTCTCCTCTTCAGATTGTTCCTATGGACTGCATCTGAACAAAATACACTGAACTAGCAGGTGCAGCTGACTGGAAATAACCTACTCTCCCAAAAGACAAAGTTCACGGCAGCCCCAAAGAAAAGCAACTACAACTGCAGCTAAGCTTTATCACTCTCTTTAGGTTTAAAAAACTGAGCCATGCCTGTAATGATAATAAGACCATACATAGTTCCTCACCCAGAAGTGATTGCTGCTTCCAAATTTATGAGGCCATGCAATGAACTAGCTCTGCACATTAGCGTGCCTGCCTATTCTCTCTTCTCTTGCACCACAATGTAATTTTTTGGTGGGCACAGGGTGAGAGAAAGAGGGAAAAAAACAACTATTTCACTTGGATGAAATAATTGAGTTGGACAGCTTTTTGGGGAAAAAAAATATTTTTCCAGGACAGGAGAAGGGGTGGGGCAGTACAGTGGCAAGAACCAGAGGGTAAGATCAGAGCTGCTCACAGCAGCTGAAGCAGTTATTTTACACAAAGTGTCATTCCTGCCCAGAAACATAAAGCCCTTTGAAAGGGTTAGGAATACTTCAATTGCATTATCAGAGTCAATTCCTGTCTAATGAGAAATAAAATAATATCCTTCCTCCAAAAAATTAATTAATCAATTCGGTGTAATTCTTCAATCTTAATGCATCCGTTTTCTCATTTGCACTATAAAAACACACCTGGGATCCTTCAGGCATCTAAAATGTAATGCAGTTAAATGATGTCTCAGTTAAAGCTAATGTAAACCTGCCTAGGCTAGGATTTTAACAGGATTTTTATAGAAGATACATAAAACATCCCTCGGTCTCAGGTATGCAAAGCATAACTTAGTATGTGAGAAGAGTATGTAGCCTGAAGAGAAAAGTAGGTGGTCTGATTTTCATATCCCAAGTCAAATTTGCTCAAGTTTCAATTAGAAAATGATCTGTTTAGTCAGAGGAACTTTTACAGAACATCTTTAAGTAGCCTTCAGAAAATGGAATTGTGTTCAACTTGCAGTAGCGATCACCACCGACTTCATTACAGAACTTAGCTTAGCATGCCCTCAGCACTAATTGCACAGTTGCAATCCATAATCTCACTGGTAAAGCCTCCTTAAATCTAAGGAAAAATGGCAATAATCACCTGGCTCTTCCATAGCAAAAGTTCTACCAACAAGGAACAAAATCTTACCTTTAATCAGTCCTAAAATGTCTTGAAAATTTCTAAGAATCCCATGAAAAGACGCAAAACAAAAGCAAACTCACCCAGTATAACTTGCCTATGGCAGCATTTTGCAGGTTTCTTGGTAGGGGAATGACCTACAGCACATCAAATCTTTATCAACACCAAGTTGCCATGTTCCCCTGACCTTAAAAAAATGTAGTCACTCTCCTTGATTTCACAATTGCCTGTGTGAGACATAAGAACCTATACAATGCCTTTTTTAGCTCTTCTGTTCTATTGATAAGTATCTGCTTTATCATGGACTTTGCTCCATGTGAAAGCACTACAGCATTCCCACTCCAGCATCTGATTTTTCCAGCAAAACCTTTTTCCAAAAGTCATTACTGTCTTCAAAAATTTTCATTTACTATTACTTCTTTTCGTTTACTATGACATCTTGGTATATTTTTCATTTCAGTTAAAACAGAAGATGGACAGATTTTCTTGGGCCTCTCTCCAGCTATGAATTTTCTGTACAGTCCACTTGGGACGGAATATCTCATTCTGCATTTCAGATGTTTTCTCCATAATTTTCTTAAGATCTATCCTTTGGAATCCCCATAGCAGGGAAAACTACAAACTGTTTTCTCTTTATGGTGAGTTAAAAGCAATCATTTTGCAACTAAAGCATAGTGTCTGTAATTTTTTCACACAAATGCTAACTTGAAAACTCAATTTCCACAACTCACAGCAGCTTCCCTTTCCTGACACAATGGATAATTTGGCTGCTGAATGCGTATGCTGGGTAACTCTTCCTTTCTAAAAACATTCTCAGTTTCTTCCTGGCATTTTTTCCACACTCCTATTTGTTTTTTTCCAAAACACATTATACATAAAACATCAACTAATCCTTACAGAACAGCTCACAGTCCCATTACACTACGGAAGAAAATAAAAAGGATACATATACATTCTGGAGGAAACCCCCACCATTTCAACTAGTAGGAATAGCACTGTTTGGGTACTCTTAAGATCCCATGGAAAGGTACACTTCAGTTCAGGATAACAGATATTAAGAAATTTAAGAAATTAATTCTGTGGTAGTAGACTAATAAAATCAAAGTAGTGGGGGTTTCACTATAAAAAAAATTTAACCATACAAGAAAAGTAAGGTTTGAAGGAATTTATATTTTTAATTACAGCACCTGATACAGAGAGAATGAGGTAATATTAGCAGGTGACCACAGGACACAGCTGAGCCCTCAGTCAGGAGGGCAGCACTGCTGGGAGAGCAAAATTCTGCACATGGGAGTGAGTGAGGAAAATAGAAGTGTGAGAAATAATCCTGTAACACTGAGGTGAGAGAAGGGGGAAAAGCACTTCAGGCACCACAGCAGAAATTTCCACTGCAGCCCATGGAAGGGACCTGGGATAGAGCAGTAATGCACTCCGCAGCTTGTTGAGGGCTCCATGCCAGAGCAGGTGGCCATGTCCTGAAGGAACTGCAGCCTGTGAAGGACCAGTGCTGAAGAAGGCTTATCCTGAGGAACTGCAACCCACCCAGAGGGCCCACACAGGATCTGTTCTGGAAGGACTGCAGACCATGCAGAGATCCAGCACTGAAGCAGGGAAAATTGTGAGGAGGAAGCAGCAGAGTGGAGCTCTTATGGACTGATCACAACCCCATTCCCCATTTTCCTGCACCGTTCACAGCTGGGAGGAGGTAGAGGAGTTGGAAATGAAGGAGTGAAGCTGAGCCTGTGAAAGGAGGGCAGGATGAGGCAAAGCGTTTTAGTTCTTTTATTTTTTTTCTCACCATCCAATTCTGGTTTTAATCGGTAATATATTAAATTCATTTTCCTGGGTTTGTTTTGCACCTGATAGGAACTCTCTCTGCCTTTCACTCAACCTAAGACATTTTAAATCTCGTTTCCTGCCTTCCACTGTCCTGTGGAGGGGATGGAGCAAGAGATAAATTGGGTGGATATCTGGCAGCCGATAAAGAGCAATCCACCATAGTCTAATAAAAAATATCCTTTCTTTCGAGACTCAAGTACCATGAACATATAATTGAGAAAACTTTCTGAGACACGATTGAGAACTGAAACAATTCTACGGAGTTAGTTTCAACTCATGCATTGCTGTAGTGTCTCTTTAAATACTTAGCTAGCCTAGATCCCATTTTGCCATGTCAGATTTGGATAATTTTCATGTGCTTCTCACTGCATGGCAGGGAGTGGCCATGGCAGGGAAGATAAACTCCATTCCAACCAAGCATATCTTAGAGACATCGGACTCAGAGTCATGTGGAAAAAATTCATTGATGAGGGGAGAGGAAGCCTGACAGAAGGGGAAATTATAGATCATCTTTCTGTATGGAAGGCTAGACGGAAGGAAAAGACACAGACACATCAAAGATGCAGTAACAGATTTTGATCATTTGGATAATGCCCACTACAGGACAAAGTTCTCATGAGCCTTGGTGTCAGGCATATTGATTAGACAAGAGTATAAATCAGAGGAAAAATTTACGCAGGCAGAAAACCAAAATTAACCTGTGGAAGGAAGTAGCTTGAAAAAAAATCTAAACTTCAATTCTTTTCACGCCTGATCAACATCCCCATCATTTGTACTATTTCCCGCAGTCTAAAACTCTCAATTCCACTAAAAAGCACTCTGTTGGCTAATCTGCAG